CCCGGTCGCGAGAAGCCCAAACCGGAACACCTGAAGAATGCGCCATCAGTTATCATCAGAACTCTGGCTCGACTCATCCGCGTTCCTGTCGGAATGCAAGGTAACCACTTGGTGGAAAATCAGCAGGATCGTGCTGCTGTACAAGGAATCTACAAACTATCCACCCGAGTCGTCCTTAACAGGATTGGCAGTCATGCGAGCAAGCAGGGTTCTGAAGAGGGGTGAGCACGGCCAACCACATCCACACGGTTACGAGACTCATTGCAAGTTTCACAGGGGAGTACAAGATGCCGATTTGTCTCACGTTCATCGACTTGAAGAAGGCCTGACTCTGTGGAAACAGAAGCGTCATCGAAGCTTCAAAAACCAGGGTGTTCCTACTCATTACATAAGGATTCTTCGTGAGATCTACAGCAGCTTTACGAACCAGGATCTTCAATTGGTTTTATTAGCTGGCGGTGCGTTCTTCAGATGTTCCGGTTTAACCCTGTCGAGACCGGGTGCTGTACATTCTTCACCGACTTGGCGTGTCGGACTTCGGAAGAGAGAACTGAGGGGACGACGTATCCATCCTGTTGCAGTTGATAAGTAGGCAGATGGACATGGCTATCGAAGAGATCCGAGTAGAAGTCGTGGATGACTTTCTCCATTGCCCTTCGGGATGCAGTAACTGTTCCATCCGGACGTCGGAGGCAGGTCATCTTGGTCTTGTAGCTGGCAAAGCTTCGGCGGGCATTGCGGATGCTCCTCCCAGCCTCTGCCTCTGCTGCTTCAGCTAATACTGCTGCTCTTCGCTCCTTGAGATCTTCCTTTATCGCCTCTCTGCATAGCTTCGCAAGCTCGGACGTGAGTTGGTGATTGCCTGCAGCTCGTGCGGCTCCACGTTGGCGTATCAGTTCGAGAGTTTCCGGAGACAGACGTCCCTTGGTGACTTTCAAACTCTCTGCCTTCCTGCCACAATCGTGAAGATGTTCAACGAGCCGATGAGTATTCCTCGTCGATGTTTTCGATGACGGAATCCTCCCATAAGCTGACGAGGGAAGCGAAGTGGTCCCAGTTGATGACTGTCCTGGGGCTTCGCTTCCTGAACTTTGCTGCTCTCTCAACACGCATCGAAAAGTGGAATCTTGCGCGGAGGAGACGATGGTCCGATCCCGTGTAGAACTTTGGAACAACAGCGACGTCGGTCAGGCAAAACCTTCGATTGAAGATGATGTGGTCTATCTCGTTATGGAACTTTCCTAAAACTGTAAGTTACCATGGATGGTGTTGGTCGACATGATAAACTCCGACAGTCTCTCGCCCTGCTCATTCCATTCCATTCCGTGAGTACCGATTCTTCAGCCGTTCTTCTTGGGCCAATCTTAGCGTTGAAGTCGCCGACGATGACCTTGAAGAAGGTATGATCTTCCTGTAGAACTTCTCCAATTCCATATAAAATGCTTCGTGTTCTCCTCGTAGCTGATGTTGGTGCGTAGGCGACGAAGATTGTCAAAGCAGGAGTTGAACCACATCTTCTCAATCTCAAACGTCCGATTCGGGTCGTAGGCTTTCGTACGAATCGATGTTTATGGCCAAGTGCGTGTTGACGAGGACACCCACACCGCCAACGCCTCTGCTGTCGCATGTTCCAAGGAACAGTTCTTCTCCAGTATCGAAAACGGCGTGTAGCGGGCGGTGCCTTCTCGTCTCGGTCAGTCCGATGACGTCGTACTTGATCTTCCTGGCCTGCATCATCAGATCTTCGATGTGAGCTTCGGATGCAAGCGTTCGTGCGTTGAAAGTACAGATCGCCATCTTAGTCCTTCTTCGTTTAGGCAGCCTATCCGGGCCCTGAGATTCTAGCAGCCTCTCCCGAGCGGTCCTACCCAACGCTGCCGTATTGGGGGCTCCCTCAGGTTCAGGGGAATGAGGCCCATCCATATTGCTGTTTTCGGCATATTGAAGGCACACGAGTAGCTTGCCAGGCTCTGTCGTGTGGGCTAGGATAGACCTCCAGGTAGTTAGCCACGCTATCCTGGAGCGGAACAAGGGGCTTATTTTTGGAGGCGGCCCCGAATCGCCTCCCATGTACTTCCCAGTCACTTGAATGCAAGCTTTTGGCTGTGGCGACATGCAGGATACCAATCGTACA